GTGTGTGTGTGTGTGTGTGTGTGTGTGCGTGCATGCGTGTGTGTGGTTGGGTGGTTGTAACTCAGAAAACAGCTTTGCTAAAGGTAAAGTGGAGGGTAAAATACCCTAGCTGGTGTGTTTGTTCTGGGACAGTGAGTCATACCAAGACAGTCTGACCTGTGCTAGGTGTCAGATGGATGTGGACAACGAAAAAAAGGCTTGTACTGAAAGCCCTCAGAGAGATAGGATGCTGAGAGTGACAAGGGAGCCCATCTTTCTTTTTCATCCTGAACTTGCTGCTGATGGGACCAGAATCTGGATCCTCCAAAAGATGCCTGTGGTTTTTGTTTTCTGCTCTCATATATGTGATATGAATTCAAATCAAGACCTTTGTCTTCCCTCCACTGTTGAGAGATTCTAGAGAGATCTAAATCCACATTTTTCAAACTTTCCACTCTGCTTAGTGGCTGCTGCTGAGAATAGGAGTTTACAGGATGATCAACCCAGGTGGGGCTTCTGAGTATAGGGACGGCATGCTGGGTAAAGGTCTGTTCCTGGTTAAAGAGTCGTCTGCTGTGATGTTGCTGAGCTCTGAAGCAATCCTGAGACAACCCAGCTGCCCTCCACTGGTCAAACTGCAAAGACTAACCAATCAAATTCACATGCAAAATAGCAATACATTCCTGAACTTTTAACCTCTGTAATAGTCTAGTTTACAACTGCCTGTTTTATTTGGATTTGATTCTTTACTTCATTACTCACCATGTCAGTGTGTGACTGTCCTGGTTCTTCAAGGGAGAAGAGAGTAGACGATGTCTTCCACTCTTGTATCCGTTTCTTGGTGAAAGCTCGTCTATCCAAGTCCTGCTTAACTTCCTGTGCTAAGTAATCTTGTTGCATGGCACTGTCTAGGATACAGAAAGATAATTTAAAACATGTACACAACTATATATGAAACAATGGTCAATGGCACGGTGCAATATATTTTTTAAATTTTTTTTTTGTCAGGATATAAAAAAATCCAGTTTGTAAATACACTGATTTGAATAACGATAAGCATATTTTTAATTTCTAAATTAAAATTACTTTTGTTATTTTTGGAGTGCATTAAGTCAAAAATGGGTAATACAACTGTCCCGATACAATAAAAAAAACTACAGAATAGTTTGCCATAATCTTTTATTATTTTAAGTTTTTTGAAAATCAAGATGTGCACACTCACATGTATTCAAAGTGTGAGGAAAATGTCTGTTATTACTTGATGGTTACACCATGACATTTTTAAAGACATTACATTTTCAGTTATTCATTTGTCAAATACTCTTTATCCAAAGTGATTACAGTGTTATCACTATTATCAAGGTATATATTTTTTGCATTCCCTGGGAATCCTTGCCGTTGTTTACATCATGCTCTACTGCACGAACTATAGGAATGACTGTAGCTTTAAATTTAAAATGTTGTTAAAAATTGTAGTTTTTTTAAGCCATCAAGGAATTCGTCACATGCATTTTAAACTGCTTTTCTAAATGAATTTTCTTCTGTTTGTCTTGGACATTTTTTTTTTTTT